ATTCCTCCCCAAAAAACCATCTCCTCCCAAAAGACATAAAATCCCCCTGAAAGCCCCAAGTAAAGTGCTTTTTCAGCCCAAAATTGGCAACTTTGTCACCCCAAACACCCTCAAAATTCCTCCCCAAAAATCCATCTCCTCCCAAAGGACATAAAATCCCCCTGAAAGCCCAAATAAAGCGATTTTTCAGCCCAACGTGGGCATCTCTGTGACCCCAAATTCCCTCGAGGTGTTGTGAGACCCCCAAACCCCTCCCAAAGTGCCCCAAATTCCCCAAAACACCGCAAAACCTCCAAAATGTCCCAAACTCCCCCAAATCCCTAAAAGGCTCCAAAACCCCCCAGATACCCCAAAAATCCCAAGCCCCCCAAAGTGCTCCAAATTCCACAAAACCCCAGAATCCCTGAAACCTCCCCCAAACCCTCCAAATTTCCCCAAATCTTACTCCACATTTCTCTCCCTAAAAATGCACATTTTCCTCCCTAAAGATGAACGTTTCTCTCCCCAGAAACACCCATTTCTCTCCCTAAAAACATTCCCTGTCTCCCTCATCCAGGAAGAACTAGACCAGGGAGAGATTATTTCTTGAGTTCTCAGCCAGGGCTCCTTTTCCCTATGTTTTGTCATCTCCCAGCTGCAGGAATTTAATCAGATTTTTTGCTGTGCCCGGGGAAGGTTTTACGGGAAAAAACCTTCTGGAAATGCAGATCCAAACAAAGCATCTTGTGGCTCTGCATCCCTGCTTTTTGCTGGGTTGTTTTTCTGCGGAATCCATTAAAAAGCAGGGATGACCTGGCTCAGCAGCTCCATCTCCCTCCCCAGCTTCCCGACCTTCCCTAGGGAAGCAGGGAGAGCTGGAAGTTTGTGTTAAACCCGGACTAAACCCGGGGCGAGGGAGGTGGGGAAAATCCAAGGAGAGGTTTCCCTGCCCCAAGGAACATCCCCCTTTTCTTCCTGAAGCTCTCGGTGCGTTCCGGGCCGGGATTTCCTCCGGATCGTGGGGCAGTTGTGTCCCTGTTTCCCAGAGTTCGTTGCTCCCGGTGGTTCATCAGCGCTGCGGAGGGAAGTGGGAATGTGACCGGTGCGTGGGCAAGGTCCATGTGACTGTCCCAGTTTAGGGCTGTGCTGGTTAATGCGGAGGAATTTAGGGAATGAACTTCCGTAGGAACCCGGGAATGTCTTGTCCCTGCTCCTGTCCCGCAGCAGGTGCCGGCAGAGGGGAGACAAGCCGAGCTTAGCAAAGCCTGACTCAGGTTAAGGCATAGATGGGGATGAGCAGGAGCCGGTTCCAACCCTGGGCCCTTGCCCAGGAAAACTCTTGGAACTGGTTTTTCCAGGTCTGTGGTAAAACCACTTGTGGAAAGATCCTTATGGATGAGGAGAGTGGGTGGGATTAGGCCGGGCTGGGTTTAGTCTCGGCTCCATCCCAAGGCGTTCCCAAGCGAGTTATTTACCTTCTCCATGCCTGAGTGCCCACTTGTTCTTTGGGATTCTGGGAAGTGGGAGGATGGGCACCTGGGAGCCATTTCCCAACTTTTTTATTCCAGGAAAACCACTGTGAATGCCCAGTCTCGTGTCCCTTATCAGAGTAAAACTGAGGAGCCAGGAAGTGATTCCTTAAGGAATGTGTCCTGGGAACTGTTCCTGGAAGGCTGCAGGGGCGCTGGGAATGTTTCCTTAGTGTAGAAATCCTGCGTGTCCGGGATTTCTTTGGAATCTGGGAGCCAGGCCAGCCGTCTGAGGCGGTTAAGACCTGGATCCCGCAATTCCCGGTGCCTCAGGGAATCTTTCCAGCAGCGTGGGTGGAATGTGGGTCTGTGATTCACACCCTGACACAGCCAAGGGCACTGACCTCTCCATGATCCCGTTTTTTTTTTTTTTTTGGGAGCAGTCACATTTTTGCTTCATTTCCTTGAATATCCCCTTCCAAAGCGTTTTTCTTCCATTCCAAGTAACTCGTCCTTGTGTTTCCTTGCTGGAAAACAGGGAGAGGCATCAATCCTCAGGGAAACGCTGCTGTTATCCACGGTATTCCCTCTTTTCCCAGCTATCCTGGTGATCGAGTTCGTCTATGCCATCGTGGGAATCGTGTGGCTGACCCAGTACTACACCTCCTGCAACGACCTCACGGCCAAGAGCGTCACTCTGGGTATGGATCGGGAATGCTGGGGCGCGTTCCGGCGGATCCACGGCCGGCATTCCCTCCCACCGGCTGGGGATGGACGCCTGGAAGTGGATCGGAGCTGTCAATGCGCTCCTTGTCTCCCTGTTTATTGCTGGAACAGTCGTTCCATTCGTTTGTGCTGAGAGAGGGATTCGTGTTCCCGGGGAAAGGGCGGGAAGGGGGGAGTCTGGAAATCCTGCTTTTCCCCTTCAAAATGGCTTCGCTGTTTCCCTGGAACTCGTTTCCCGCCTCCTGGTGGGAACGTGCTCATGCTGTAGTCCTGGATATTCCGGGGGTGTTCAATAACCCCAGAAAACAGCCAGGAAAACTCATCCGGCTGCAGTTCGGAAGCTTTTCCAGAGGGTTTCCTTTGGCCGCGGGATGGCCGGCTGGGTTTGGGGCGGGAAGCGAGGGCCGGAGCGTGCCATTCCCGTGGTTTTTTTGCAGGGATGGTGGTGTGTAACTGGGTGGTGATCCTGAGTGTCTGCATCACCGTGCTCTGCGTTTTCGATCCCACGGGAAGGACCTTCGTCAAGCTCCGGGCAACCAAGCGCCGGCAGCGCAACCTCCGCACCTACAACCTCAGGTGAGGGGCATTCCAGGGGATCCTGGCGCTCCGGGGAATCCCAGCACTCCAGGGAATCCCGGCACTCCGGGGAATCCCAGCACTCCAGGGAATCCCGGCACTCCGGGCGCCTGGGTTGGATGGGATCGTGCACATCAACCCTGGGATGGTTCCGCTCCCCCACTCGGACAGAGCAAATCCCAGCGGATCTGCCTTGGAAACTGTGGGATCGCGGGGTTTTCCAGGGGACAAAAGCAAGGATAGAGGTGAGGGAATAGGCTCCCAATTGATAAGGATTTGATGGACGTAGGAATGATTCTTATGTGGTTTACAGTCCCTTTTTTGTTCCTGGAATGATTTTAAGATGATTCCTTCAACAAATCGTCTGAATTTGGGAATTTAAGCGTGAGAGGAAACGACGTAAAATTGGTGCAAGGAGAGATCATGGAATCATTGTGGAATACTGGAATGGTTTGGGTTGGAAGGGACCTTATGGAACATCTCATTCCACCCCCTGCCATGGGCTGAGACATCTTCCACTAGTCCAGGGCACTCCAAACCCCATCCGGCAACACTTCCAGGGATGGGGCAGCCACAGCTTCCCTGGGAAATCCATTCCAGGGCCTCTCCACCCTCACAGAGAAGCATTCCTTCCCAATATTCCATCTATCCCAGCCCTCTGGCAGCGGGAAGCCATTCCTCCTTGTCCAGTTGCTCCAGGTCCTTTTCCAGACTCCTTTTCCAGCTCTCTTAGGGTCCCTTTAGGCCCTGGAAGAGGCTCCAAGGTCTCCCTTGAGCCTTTCCTTCTCCAGGCTGAGCAAATCCTTGTGTGCTCATCCTGGAGCAGTGTTTTCCTTGGATTCATTAAGGCAGTGCTGAAATTTTCCTTAAATTGTGGCAGCATCTCCTTTTAAATCCCCCTTTCTTCCTTTATTTTCTCCAAAATCCAACCCTTTACCCTGAGGTTTCTTGGCCAGGAAACAATTCCTGTTGTGTTGGCACTGGGATCTTTTAATTAAGGATTGATTCCATCCTGGAGCTTCCCAGATGGGAAGAGAAAAGGGTTTTTTTTCACCCAGCCAAGCATTTTCTGAAGGATTTTTTTCCAGTAGGAGACAACACAAACAGGCTTTGTTTCCTCTGACATCTGGGCCTGTCCTTGAGGAATGTGCCCTTGTAGTCCCTGGGATCCAAAGGGGTAAAAGATGAGGCTTTTCAAAAATCCACTGCAAATTCCATGTTTTTCCATGGCTTTGTGTGTTTTGAACCCTGGGCTTTTCCAGTGGCTTGAAATGGGATCCTTTGGGAAGGAAAACTGGGCTTTTTTAAGGATCAGGCCTCAAATTTTGTTGGAAGGAGGCTGGGTTTTGTTGTGGAATGCTGAACATTCCTCCTGACCTTTCCAGTGTGTGGAATATTTGGAATTAATGCCCTGTCAGCCCAGTGTGGTGATTCCTGCTTGGGATCAGGGCATTCCCAGGATGAGCAGCTGTCATGATATTGTGGAAAATAGGGGAAAAAGCCTTCCCTGGGAGGGTGTGAGGCTCTGGAATGGGTTTCCAGGAGTAGATCAGGGAATTCTCTGCCTGGCTGGATTGTGTGCCAGGGTGGTTTTCCATTCCCTTCGGGATGTGTGGGCTGAGGAAGTGAAACAACCCAACCAAAGGCTCAGCTCCTCATGCTGAGGCTTTTCCAAGGAGCTTTGGAGCTCCTGCTGAACACGTGGAAGGAAAGCGTTGGGAAAAAATAACTTGGGAAATCCTTCTCTTCCAGGCAAACATTCCTTTCCCAGCACCTTTTTCTTCCAGGCACAACCCACTTCCTGGGCTTGGGTTTATCCCAGTGGGATCCCCTGATGGAAAATGGAGCGGGGTTTTATTTTGGATTGCTCTGACCTGGGTTAAATCTGTGTTTCCATAAAAAAAGGCCCTGCTTTAGAGGAACTTTGGATTTCAGGGAGCATGGAGTCAGTGGCCTTGAGCTGCAGGAGGGTGGGTTTTGGTGGGATATTGGGAAGAAACTCTCCCCTGTGAGGGTGGGGAGGCCCTGGAATGGCTTTCCCAGAGAAGCTGTGGCTGCCCCATCCCTGGAGGTGCCCGAGGCCGGGTTGGATGGGGCTTGGAGCAACCTGGGCTAGTGGAAGGTGGAACATGATGATCCTTAAAATCCCTTCCAAGCCAGAACAGCTGGATTCCGCTTCTCTGGAGCGTGTGCAGGGAAGGGAGTGGAGCTGGGGAAGGGGCTGGAGCACCGGGAGCGGCTGAGGGAGCCGGGGGGGCTCAGCCTGGGGAACAGGAGGCTCAGGGGGACAACTCCCTGACAGGAGGGGGGAGCCGGGTGGGATTGGGAACAAGGGACAGGAGGAGAGAAAACGGCCTCAAGCTGCACCAGGGGATGTTTAGGTTGGATATTAGGGAAAATTCCTTCCTGGAAAGGGTTGGAACAGGCTGCCCAGGTCAGAGGTGGAGTCCCCATCCCTGGAGGGATTTAAAATCCATGTGGATGTGGCACCTGGGGACGTGGATTAGAGAGAGAGAGAGAACGGTTGGACTCTGTGATCCTAAAGGTCTTTTCCAACCTTGATTCCATGATTCCATGGTTTCTGACCTCCCTAGTCTATAAAAGGAGCCGAGTTGATCTGTTTGTGGTGTCCGGGATAAGCGGAAGGACAGGGATCAGCACCCGTTTTCCCAGTGTTGGAAAACCCTCCTGTGGCCCCGTTCTCCCTGTGCTCACATTCCCCCTGTTCCCGTTATTCCCAGACACCGGCTGGAGGAAGGCCAGGCCAGCAGCTGGACAAGGAGGCTCAAAGTGTTCCTTTGCTGCACGAGGACAAAGGACTCGCAGTCGGTGGGTACCAAAAATTCCCCGTGGGAGCCAGAAAGCTGGGATATCGCTGGGAGAAATCCATGGGCTTACAAGCTTTAGGATCAAACCTGGCAGCAATTCCCAGTCAGCTCTGGTTTCCCTTCCCAGCCAGTTTGCTGAGGGAGTTTCTCCTGGTTTTTTGGATCAGTCCCGTATCCTTAATGAGGAGGATTTGGGAATGGGAAAATATAAACCTGGAAAAACCAACAAAATATTCTGGATTTATTAACAGTCAAATCCGTAGATCCATGAGGAGATTAGTGGGAATTTTCCTGTTCTGCAGTTGGGATTTTCCCTTGCAGGGAAGGGGAAAGGGCTTGATATTCCTTCCCCAAAAGTTATCGTTCCGTTCTTTTCAGAAGCAGTGGGAGCAGCTGTAGGGATTCAGCAGCATTCCTCGGGACCTGCTGGAGAGCTGAGTGAAACCTTGGTGCTGGGAAAAACGTGGAAAACTTGCCTGATAACTTGTTCTATTGAATTTAGTCAGAATTCCCAGTGTTTGAGGACTCCTGAAGGGCCCGGCAGAAGCAGGGAATTGCTCCCAAAGGCAGGAGAAAGCCACCAAACCCAAGGAGATCTGGGACTCCTGAAGGAACAGTTGAAATCCCCGAGCCCTGAATGAGTTACAACCTCGCAGGGAAAAAGCTGGGAGTTCTCAAGGACATTCCAGGAAAACCAGCAGCGGCCCCAAATGTTTGACTCCGGTTGGAAGGGCAGGGAAAATGACAGGGAAGACACCCAGGGAGCGACCACAGCGGCGTGGCCTGGCTAAATATAGCCTGGAGCTCTGCTTCCAGAGGGATGCAGCAGGAACAGGAGCATGTTGGGAAGGGAGATGAATTTAGAGAGGAAGAGAAATGCGTCTGGAATTGAAATTCCAAAGGGAAAGGTGGGAAAATCAAGGAGAGTCAGGTGAAGGCCACTGTTATTCCTCATAGAGGGCAACTGGGATGAATTGGATTAACAGGGTTTGTCAGGAATTATCCACGGGGTGCAACTTCCAGAAGCTGCAGGAATTGGCACAGGCCTTGTGCAGGAATCCAGCCCCCTCCCAGGATCCCTTTCCCTGGCTGGAATGCCCCTGTGTTACCAGGGAACGTCCCAGCCCCATCCTGCTGGGAAGTCCTGCCAGCTCCCAGCTCCTCTGCTCAGGAAATCCAACAGGAAAAGCAAAACCTGGGAGAGCCCTGACAAACACCCAAAGGTCCTGATTCCTGAACAACTCCCACTTTACTCAGGATTGCAAGTATTCCAAGCTCTTAACAAACCTTTCATTCTGCAGAGACCAAGTCTCCTCTGCTTTTGGTCCCTGCAGGGAATGTTTCTCCCTGTTTTTTTTTTTTTACTTCAGGATGAAAGCAGATTCCAGACTCTTCACATTCCTCATGCTGTTGAATTCCCACTTTATATCCAGCTGGAGCCATTTCCAGCCTCTTTTCCCTGCAGGAACGAACTCTGACTTTGTGTGTCCTGGAATGGGAGCATGTGGAATGAATGGATCAGAAATGAATCTATTGCTGTCTCTCCCAGTTTTCATGGAAAAAAAACCTCTTGTAGCAGAGGATCCTTGTCCTTTGGGCTGGAAAAGAGTTCTGTGGAGTGGACGTGGAATTGGGGAAAGGATGATTGGGAAGCCCCAGAGCCTTCAGGGTTTGTAGCAGAAAATTCCAGGTGTTCTCCTGCAACAATTTGGGAAAAAGGATCCCAGGTCTGGTTTAAAATTGGGAAAAGGATCCCAGGTCTGGGTTAAAGATGGACAAAAGGATCCCAGGTGTCCAAACAGGAATAGTATCAGGTGTTCCAGCAAAAAGCTTTTCCTTTGGAGCAGAAAATCCACATTAAAGTTCCAGGACAGCCCTTTTTGGTTGGAGTGTCTGGGGGTATTGCTGCCACTTTGGATTAATGGATGTTTTCCATAATTTGTTTGGAGGCTGTTGGCGTTTCTGGTGAGCTTAGAGGAGCTGGGTTGGGATCTGGGAGGTCAGGATTTCAAGGATCCTGCAGTTGGAATGTTGGAGAGGTTAATGCCAGGCTTTCCAAAGGCACCTCTGGCACAGTTGGCACCTGGATCCCCATCCCTTAATGGGCACTTCACTCACTTGTGTAGGGAAGTGAGGAGTGATTGGAAGTCATCCTGCACTCCAGGAGTTTGGCAGGGATAAAGGGATGTAGGTCGTTCCTGCAGGAGCAAGGATGTCATTCCTGCTGGGAAGAGAAGGGATTTACTGCCTTGATGGTCGGAGAAAAAAGAGGAGAAATCCTGGCCTGGAAAGTGCTCAGGATTTCCACAACTCTGCAGGTTTGAGGAGCTGCTTGAAGGATACCACGGAAACCTGGGATAAAAATTCAGGATAAGGCTCTGCTAATCCTTGGAAGGAAAGGTTTGGGATGGCAGGAGTCAAAATACCATTGGTTTACTGCAACCCCACATTCCAACCTCTGGATCACCCTTTTCCTTAGGCTGCAATAATGACACATCAGCTCTGACTCACATTCCAGCCCATCTCCCGCTTCCCAAAATGTTCTCCTTCAGGCTTTTGTGGTTTTTTCCCCTGTAGTACAGAGAAAAAGGTGGAAAAAGAACCTTTCTCCTCAGTATTTTTGCCCCTCTGCTCCAGAGCCTTTGTGTGACCCTCTCAGGTCACTTCCATTTCTGTCCCTCCTTTTTTGGGATTGATCACCTTCTCCCCTGGGAATTCTGCATTTAGTGACTCAGATCTTTTTCCAGGTTTTCCCTTTCAGGCCTTTTTGCTTGGGTGCCATCCAAAATAAAGCTGGAAAAACCTGGCAATAGGGGCCAAAGGATCCTAGGTCCGGGTTAAATTTGGCCAGAGGATCCCAGAGTTGGGTTAAATGTGGGGAAAAAGGGATCCCAGGTCTGTGTTCAATCTGGGAAAAGGATCCCAGATCTGGCTTAAACATGGGCAAAAGGAATTCTGGGTATGGATTAAATATGGGCAAGTTAAATTTGGGCCAAAGGATCCCAGGTCTGGGTTAAATTTGGGAACAAGATCCCAGGTCTGGGTTAAATTTGGGAACAGGATCCCAGGTCTGGGTTAAATCTGGGAACAGGATCCCA